CGTACAATTGACAAACTCACATAGGTTATGTTTACTACTTAAGAACAGCTGATGAGAGGGGTGTTATGTAAACAAACATGTGTACCAACTGTTGGTGATGAAATATTTCATTTGTTGAAAACTCAATATACATATATATAATATAATGATACTATATCTTGAAAACAAGAGCTAATATATAATTTTTATGGTCACTTTCGGTTTTAACACGTGGAAATACATTAAAATCATCTAATTTCAACCCCGAAACAAAAACTTTGTTGTGTTGTGATCAATAATAATCAGTTTCAAGTCGATCGGTGCAGTGAGTGGACGTTTATAAAAATCAGAGAAACGTCTACTATGTTCATGTGGAGAAATTTAGAAAAGATCGAAATTATACATATGATTTGTTAATTATCTCGTACGTAATGTTCTGTGTGACCTTCTGCGAGTGGTATGAAGGTTGTACCTGCATATGAATTGTATACCTACACATGTTCGGATTGCGTACAAATAGAAAAAAGGGATGGGGATAAAATGTAATCTAACCTAACCATATTTATTCTATCAAAAATTATGCAGGTAAGGTAATGGTAAAGGTGGTTATTGTGATGAGAATGAAAAGATAAACAATTACGTGGTAATACCATATGCTTTTATGAAGATAAAGTGGGATAATTCACAAAAGTGTACGTACTCCTGGTAGAAAGTTGTTCCTTTTTGTTTACCAAATAGATATTAGCAATAGGTGAGTGAGCACGAATTTCCAACCCTGAAATTACAGGAAAAATAATTGCCTCTTAAATTTTACTCATGGCATAAATACGTAGGTGTAGCTTCAGTAGAAAATTTTGAACCATAAGATATTAGGTTCGTTAATTGAAACTAAGTCACTTTGCAAGAAGAGCTGATATAGATTGGTGATAAACAACCCGTGTAAGAAATATCACAAAATTGTTGCTTGTGGAACAAGAGACGTACCTAAGATAAAACTCTTCATAGTTAGGAATAGCTTGCCCCATTTTTCAAAATATTCATGACATATCATGAAACTTGAAATGAAACAGATAATTACTTTGAATTATTTTATCACTAGCCATGTAATCAGATCAACTTGAGTTTCTGCTACACCTTATCAATTTAAATTAACACTTAGAATGTAAGCTATTGTGATGTTATTGTTTAACATATATGAGTACGTGCAGTGAAGACATTTTTAGTGTTTGAGCTGAAGAGTTATTTGGAGTTCAATTTTAATTTTTCACTGATATCGCATTCTAATATCCGCACGATATAATCATGATGTAAACAACCATGTTGGCCGGGACGCGTGGTACAGATGTAATGCAAAATTTATCTTCACTGGCTGTAACGTAACATGTTCTCAGTTACGAGACATTTACGAAAAATTTACCCGCGCTACGTCACCGCATGATTTAAATTTCAGTCTAGTTCACGATGTAAAGTTGTTGTTCAACCTCAATCTTCTGAAAATATATAAGTGTAGAAAAATTGTTACTAACAAATTGAAATGAAAAAAGAAGGCATTCAATTTTTCGTTAATAACTCAGAGACTATGAATTTCATAAAACTGAAATGAAAAATTATGAAAGAGGAAGAAATTCATAATGAAAGTCAAATTTTTGCTCAGACAACGAAAATTTGAGGCCAATCACGTGATCATCAAATCTGTGAGGACGCCAAGGAGTCCTGCTTTAACGGGTTTGTATTCGACAATGGCGAAATAAACGTTTTCGAAACGGAGGGGTTACGTATAGATTTGAAACACCAATTGATTCTTCAATAACATAAATTTACATAAATTTATTTGTACAACTTCAAATCAAATGATTTGTAACTATTGGTTCCTGATACGAGTGCAAATTCCACAAGATATATAACAAATACTCACCACTAGGCAGAAAATCATGGACAAAAAAAGAAGCAATGAACTGAATTGTGGAAAAGGCATGATGGATATGAGTGAACTGATTAATCTGTGTGATCCAAATCAATGTGTCGATATAATTTCATAGATATATTTATCTGTGAATTGAACTGAAAGGGGTATTATGAATGGACTGACCCGTTACTTGATAAACAATAATAACACTAATCATGATAATAATTGAACATTATTCACAAACATTTTAATTTCTAGACTTGTTTTGCTAAGACAGCAGCTTCCTCTACCGAGGAAGCGGTAATGATTCCTCCAACGTTAGTAAAACGCATCTAGAGATGAAAAATGTTGTGAAAGGATATATTTTCAGAAGAGATTATTTTTGGGAAAATGTGAAAATCTTCCAAAAAAAGAAGAAAGCAATTGAAATCAAAAGAATGAAAAAGCCGTTTGGAAACAACTACTTTCATATAAACATTGAATTACACAAAAAAAACTTTTGAAAGGACTACTTTTCCTGTTCAGGTTGTACTCGTTGCTTCAAACATTCATTATGGAATTGATTCAGATATTCTTCACAGGTTTACTACACAATATCGTATATGAAAGAGGTAAAATTTCACGAACATGGAAAACTGTCATCTTCAGTGATGGACATCGATGTTTCGGAATATTACACTTAATCCATTCATGAAATTACGACTTTAGGGTAGGCGATGTACCCAGTTCAGTCCTTCTATTTGAAAAACTTAGTCCTCTTATTAGTGCTAAGTATTCGTTCATAAGTTTTTCTGTACAAAATAATAATATAAATAACTATAGACCAGTCACTTCGCTATCAAAAATCATGGAGAAAGCCGTAAACCACCATATCCTTAAATATTTAGAAGGCTTCAATATCTTAAGCGATCATCAATATGGCTTTCGAAAACAAAGATCAACAGGCGACCTCCTATCGTATGTCACCCATATATTGAATAACTCAATCGAGAAACATGGAGAGTTAACAGCTGTGGCGCTTGATATTTCTGAAGCCTTTGACCGTGTGTGGCTGTCGATGGATATCTCTCGAATACTATCATCATCATCGCTGGTGTTCTCCAAGTATCCATATTATCTCCAACCCTATTTTTAATATATATCAACGACTTATTAAAAAAACACGAATCCAATATATTGCTTTGCTGATGACAGCACACTTATCTCGTTAGTACATTTGGATCCCAGGACATCGGCTGCGGAAGCTCATCTTCACCGGCAGCAGGAGGTTGAATATCTTAATGAGGATCTAGAAGTAATTTCGAATTGGGGTGAAAGTAACCAGGTTCAATTCAATGCCACAAAAATTCAGGCATCGGTTTCCTCCATGAAGATGAATGTCTCCAAATCGGATATAATAATGTCAGGTCAGACAGTTCCGCTTTCTGCTTCGATAAGTTTGTTGGGAGTTAAACCAGAAAACTGTACACACCTCAGCAACTTTTGATGGCTTATAAAGCTCAGATCAGACCTTCTTTGGAATACTGTTCTCATATATGGAGCTCCGCCTCCAAACATACCCTGAAACTACTGGATTCCATCAGGAAAGAGCCATCCGCCTGATTGAAGACCCGAACATTACTTGCAACCTTGATAGTCTGGAACATCGAAGAAAGGTTGGAGATTTATCTACCTTCTATAGATACTTTCACAGGAAGTGTTCAAGTGACGTGGCACATTTGATTTCACCAAGAGCGGTACATATCAAAAATATGCTACGGACTATGGCTGCTCACTGTTATGAGGTTCAACTCAGTACACTACGAACTTCACTGTTTAAGAACTTTCGATTGGAGAACGGCGAACTTCACTGTTTAAGAACTCTTTCATTTGGCGTTTATGTGGAATCAACTTCCTAAGAACGTTTTTCCAAATGGATTTAACCTTCAGCGATTCAAATCCAATGTGAATCACTATTTTCACACAGGCACCGCTCTAACAGCGCCTTAAGGATTCATCTGTAGTGCTTGTGTTTGAAGGTGGTTGACAATTTTTCGTGGTGTATTTCATCAGTTCGGACTTCCATTGTGCTAACACCGCACCACAGTAAGCCCCCTCATTGGTATGGACTACCTAAACTTCACAAAGAGGATATTCCGCTCAGACCGATCATTAGCTCCAGAGATTCAGCTACTCAGGACTTGTCCAGATTTTTACTACCAATAATTATACCATTGCAAGGTGAAACATCATCTTTTGTGAAAAATTTAAGGCATTTCGTTGAACTACTAGGGGAAATCGAAATCAAAGAGCAGGATCAACCGATCAGTTTCGACGTGGAAAGCCTCTATACCAACGTTCCTGTCGAAGAAACACTTCAAATCATACAGAAGAAGCTATCCGAAGATGGGGACCTGAAAGATAGAACAAACTTACCGGTACAAGTAATCATGGAATTACTAGGATGCTGTGTACGAAACTGCTTCTTCCAACTGAAAGACGAATTCTTTACGCGAGATGAGGGACTGCCAATGGGATCGCCAATTTCACCGGTTATAGCTAATATACAGGGTGATTCAAAAGTACTTTGACAAACTTCTGGAGGTGATTCCTCACAATATTCTAGTATGGATTGTCCAAATGAATGAATGTCCGGAAACGCTTCGTTTCCAAGATACAGGATGTTGAAGTTTTATTTTTTGAAAAAGCCGTTTGGAATCAACTACTTTCATATATACATTGAATTACACAAAAAAACTTTTGAAAGAACTACTTTTCCTGTTCAGGTTGTACTCGTTACTTCAAACATTCATTATGGAATTGATTCAGATATTCTTCACATGTTTACTACACAATATCGTATATGAAAGAGGTAAAATTTCACGAACACGGAAAACTGTCATCTTCAGTGATGGGCATCGATGTTTCGGAATATTACACTTAATACATTCATAAAATTACGACTTTATGCCACGAATCTCTCATTTTTTAGGGCAGGCGATGTACCCAGTTCAGTCGTTCATAAGTTTTTCTGTACAAAATAATAATATAACTAACTATAGACCAGTCGCTTTGCTATCAAAAATCATGGAGAAACCACCGTAAACCACCATATTCTTAAATATTTGGAAGGCTTCAATATCTTAGGCGATCATCAATATGGCTTTCGAAAACAAAGATCAACAGGCGACCTCCTATCGTATGTCACCCATATTTGGAAAAACTCAATCGAGAAACATGGAGAGTCAAGAGCTCTGGCGCTTGATATTTCTAAGGCCTCTGACTGTGTGTGGCATGAGGGTTTGCTGGACAAATTTTGATGCTATGGCCTGTCCGATCATTTTTGTGTATGACTCTTCAGCTTCCTGAAAGAACGTTGTCTTCAAGTGGCTGTCGGTGGATTTCTCTCGAATACTTTCATCATCAACGCTGGTATTCTCCAAGTATCCATATTATCTCCAACCCTATTTTTATTATACAGGGTGATTCAAAAGTACTTTGACAAACTTCAGGAAGTGATTCCTCACAATATTCTAATTTGAATTGTCCAAATAAATAAATGTCCGGAAACGCTTCGTTTCCAAGATACAAGATGTTGAAGTTTTATTTTTATTTTCGTTTTTTTCAAATAACTTTTGAAATACTGAACTTAATTAAACGAAACTTGGTAATAGGAGGTTTTTGAGGTGTCGAATTCGAACCTGATGTTCTTATTGCTC